AATATAAATGAAGAATTATACCTTTCAAGGGAAAAATCGACCATCTGTTGAATAGTGAACTTTTCTTTTTGTACCTTTCATCAGTGCTGCACTTCTAATTCTAATTGATTTTTATTTCTTAATAAGTACAATGTGTGTGTTTATCCTGTTCGACTTCAGCTGGCACATGCTCTAAATGAGCTAATCTACCGAAATATAATTAAAAGGCGAAAGGAAATTACTGAATGTAAGGTTACAAGAAAGGAATGAGGCGAATTGGAAACCAATACCAAAATTGTCCAACATTCATAAATACTAAGAAAAAAAAAAATGAAAAAAAAAAAAGTCATTAAAGTATTGTAAATTAAGATGAGGCTTTGTTGTGTTAATTCAGGTGTTCGCGAATACACCTTCAGTTCTTATCTTGTTGTCGTGATCAGGTCTGTGTTGTTTACAGTTTTCACATTAATTTATAATCGAGTCACCCTAATGAGAATTCGGCGGCAAGCCAAAACAGATCGCCATTTTTGTGAAACGAGCCAATAGTATTGATCTTTTTGCAAGTTATAGCTTAAAATCAATGATCTTTCATCTAAATCTTTTTTTTTTTCTTTTCTTTTTTTTCTTTTTTTNCAGTATTTTCAAATAATGCAAATACTGGATTTAAAATACAAACAGTAATTACGTATAATATGGTCAACGACCTTAGACCCTAAAACCGAAATGTAGAAGCTTCAAGTATCTTTACACTTATATCATCTGAGACCACAATGATTTCGGGAATTAAAAATGTCAACTTTTAAGGCATTTGTGGTGATTTCATTTCGCTGACGTTTTCATCCCGGGTTTCCTTGGAGAAATAACTCCAATAAATAAATTGCACAAGTGTCAGGTGTAATACGTTATCGATTAATTCACGACTGTATGATAATTACAACCGCCGACAATAATATTTACCAGTTGATCTATTCCTCACTATTTGCGCCCTTCAAACGGAATGACATAACAAAGGCAAGTTGAGAATCCTAATCACGTCTTGTGTTAGAAGTATAGTTCTCTTTAATATATAAATGATCTATTTGAGCTTTGCAGCAGCAAAGCTATTGTGATATCAACAAAAGTTCTAGATAGCCTGTTTTGACCAAAATGGCACATGCAGTGACCTCAATCAATGCGTGTGCATTTGGATAATATCCGTGTATTGTTTTATCTTATTTTTGTCAGATTATTTTTCCCTACATTTGTGTGATACTACCCTAATTCTTTATTGCCACGGAATCGATTCAATTCATTTCACTTTCCGTAAAATGCACGCACACACACTCAAAATAATAAAATCTGCATCGCAAAAACAGTCACAATTCAATTAAGTTGGTATGTGTAAATGACGCAATGCTGTCAAGATTTTTAACATGCCGACTGCACTAAATAAATAGAGATAAACAATTTGTGCCAACACGTTAAATTTTTACCCAATTGAACACGTGCAGTGGCAAAAACTTGCAAATATTAAGATGATCAACCTCTTGTGCTTGAGAAAATTTCAACGGCATCTATCATAGTACAGTGCCGTGTCTATCAAGGTTATCAAATGAATTTCTGTTAGAACAGGTGGAAGAAGGCTGTACAAAGTTGTAGAACACACCAATGTCAGGTAACGAGAAATTGAAGATCAGGTTGTATAATTTATGATTCCATCTCTGAGATATAATTCTAATCATCGAAGAATCGAACTCTTGTCATTCAAATGTTTCTATCGATCGACGAAAACAAATATGGCACGATTATCTTAGCTGAGAGAAATAATATTTGCCATGCACAGCGTTATTAATTATAACTTGGGAACATAATAATACAGTATGTCACCGAATGGATGAATATCATGTCAACATATATTTAAAATATATTACGTGTCCTCCAAACATGTATCGCTCATTACGGTTTTGTCGACATTTTAACTTGCTCAGCAGCAACTGAAAAAATATAAAACGATTTCAAGAATTGGTGAGGTGAGTCAAGATAAGGGTCTGAGGACTCCTGGTAACTTCTAGTTCATGCACTTGTGGTTGATCCGGTCTATTCATTGGTCTTATAATTAGAAAATGTTCTAACCGACGAAGCCAAGCGCGAATATTAAATGTTAAGGGTGTAAAACAATTGCATACTGAAATTTACATTGTGTGCACCAAATATTGGGTAAGGACATTGTGCTTGTTATGTATATATTTTTTAATTTCCTTTTTTTTTATATTTTTTGGTAAAATGTTGTCTTTTTCAAAGTTTCTACTCAACTCAAATGCTTTTTCTCTAGTGAAAGCGTCATGTGTCACAATCTTCTAAACCAACAGAGCAGCTTGGTACTTAACTACAAATGATCTTTTCAAAGGGGTACATGGAATTGAAATGCGCGAAGAGATATATAGAAATCGCCAAAGATCCGTTAATCACAAATAGCATGTTGAGTTATCCGGGATATACAATTACAGTGCTAGCAATTTTTTTTAATAACAGGGGAATTCTTCATAGATAGTATTGCACGTAATCACGAGGAAGAATGTACGTGCTAGAAGCTCCACCTTTGAACGGTTGTATGCTCAAAGTCACGGACGTCAGTTACATTGATAAAATTTAGTTTCAAACCAAGTGACCGACTATATGCAAGGTTGTTAGGGGCACTAAGGGACAATATTTCGCGCGGATGTATTGAAAAAACTTTGAATTCACATACCAGTTTTTAATAAGAAGAATATCAAACCTTGCCTAGAATGCTAATTGATATTTTGTTCAACTGACATTTAATGTTAATAACCAAAAGTAAAAGGCAAACTATCAAACTGAAATAAAGCTATAGCTAAGAAAACAAAAAAGCAAAAAGGAGAAAAATGTATCACAGCCATCGTTGAAAGACAGGACAAAATAATAATTTTGCTATGATCCGTAGCACGAGTATCGAAAGATAATCATTAGATGTATTTTTGACAAAGGCAATCCTAGATGATAATTCATTCAGTCAGACAAATATGCTAACTGAGTTATAGTTTCATCGTCACGAATCCTCTTTTTACGTAGTTTGTTAACCATTTGATTTCTTGCTATTCATTTTCGTCACTTGAATAATGCAGATCACCCTTAGCTTTTGTAGTAGTTTTCAGACATACATAACCACCTCTTCATTATGTTATCTCTGGGAGATTGTCATCCAGGATACTAATAATCCTGGTCTTGGGTCGGAATTTAGAATTTGACTCTTTGTTTATTCTTATCGCATTTAATTGTATGCATCAGGTACACTGTATCGTATCCCATCCTAATGCTCTGTACTAAATTGAACTTGAATACACTGCAATGAAATGCACTGCACTGTACTGAACTGCACTGCATTACACTAACCACTACACTGCACTGCACTGCATCATGCCTAACTGCACTACACTACACTTCACTGCAGGGCTCTACACTAAACTATAATAAATTGTAT